CTCCACCTTGGGGAAAATGGAAGAGAAGGACAGAATAATGGGAATAAAGAAAGGATAGAGTGTATAAGCTGATAAACGAATAAGGTGAAGGAAGTTGGACAAACTGAGGGAACGAAAATGAGGGGAGGAGGGGAGGCAGGGAGGGAGGGAGGGAGGGAGGAGGAGGGAGGGAGGGAGGGAGGGAGGGAGGGAGGAGGGAGGGAGGGAGGGAGGGAGGGAGGGAGGGGGGGCAGGGAGGGAGGGAGGGAGGGAGGGAGGGAGGGAGGGCGGTAAATTGTTACTAAGGCTTCTCTACCATCCCTCCTCCTCCTCCCTCTTCCTTCCACATTTTACCTCCTCTACACCCACTCTCTCTCTCTCTCTCTCTCTCTCTTCTCTCTTCTTGTTCTTCTTGTCTACTTCTTTCGCTACCTCCTCATCCTCTCCTTTATTATTATTATTATTATTATTATTATTATTATTATTATTATTATTATTATTATTATTATTATTATTATTATTATTATTATTTCACGGTGGCTCCTGGCCTGGTGGCAAAAGCTATCGCTTCACACAATGAAGGTCGGAGTTCGAGTCCCGTCAAGGGTGAAAACATTACGTGTGTCTCCTTACACCTGTATAAAATAGGTACCTGAGTGTCAGTGGACTGGTGTGGGTCGCATCCTGGGACAAAACTGATCTAATTTGCCCGAAATGCTCAGCATAACAAGCGGCTTTCTATATAGTAGTATGTCACTGATGTCAGCTAAACCTGTATACCTTGTACATGTTTACCTGGAGTTTACCTGGAGAGAGTTCCGGGGGTCAACGCCCCCATGTACTTGTAGTAAATAAACATATTGTTATTGTTTTCTATTTTTTGTTATTACACCGTGTAATTATGATATACAATAGAGAAGCAGCACACTGCTGATGTATCCAATTTTGTGTAGAAACAAGGATGCAGGGTGTGAGAGAGGGGAAGGCAGGAGTGGGTCTTGCAACTAAGTTCTTTCTCAGACAGAACGACGCCGAGTTCTACCTCCTCGCTCCTGGAGTCCTACCTCCTCCCTCCTGGAGTCCTACCTCCTCACTCCTGGAGTCCTACCTCCTCACTCCTGGAGTCCTACCTCCTCGCTCCTGGAGTCCTACCTCCTCACTCCTGGAGTCCTACCTCCTCCCTCCTGGAGTCCTACCTCCTCCCTCCTGGAGTCCTACCTCCTCGCTCCTGGAGTCCTACCTCCTCACTCCTGGAGTCCTACCTCCTCCCTCCTGGAGTCCTACCTCCTCCCTCCTGGAGTCCTACCTCCTCCCTCCTGGAGTCCTACTCATTCAAAACGAAGAACTTCTTGTAACTTTCTGATTGTCTTAAATCTTTTTAATTAAACAATGGTAACAGCCACGGTGTCCTGCTACACTGTTATATATTATAATTACATTGTGGGAATACCCACAATGTTTCCCAGTTACACACCATCACACAGGGTGGGTCACACACCATCACACAGGGTGGGTCACACACCATCACACAGGGTGGGTTACACACCATCAAAGGGTGGGTCACACACCGTCACACAGGGTGAGTCACACACCATCACACAGGGTGGGTCACACACCATCACACAGGGTGGGTCACACACCATCACACAGGGAGGGTTACACACCATCAAAGGGTGGGTCACACACCATCACACAGGGTGGGTTACACACCATCACACAGGGTAGGTCACACACCATCACACAGGGTGGGTCACACACCATCACACACGGTACATACACAAGGTAATGAAATATGCCAGCCTGAGCCAGGAGACTTCAGTGAGGCGATGACATTATCGGTGTACATTCCAAAACAGATGCGTCACTATCGTTTCTATCAACCAGGGCATCTTTAACGTCGTTATCATATCTCCTCTAGTTCTTCCCTCTTCTAAGATTGTATTAGGCTCACTTCATATTATCTTTCCTTGTAGCGCATCTCCCTCGTTTTCCAGACTAATCTTGTAATCCTGAGTCACTGTTATATCTATTAGAATTTCATTGCATTTTCTGATGCGCCAAATCCGTGCTTTCTAAATCTAATTTCGTCTAATTTGAATCCACTGGAGCCCTTCGGTTCTCTTCCTGCAAAACAACCGCGGGGGAGTTGAATGATAGCTCTAGGCCTTTCGTGTTGCAATCAACACATCATCAGGATCTTGTAACGTTGCAGAAAGGAGGAGGTCGTCCAAGCAAATATGATCACAGGAAGCGCCTTTGTTGAGTTCAGTAATCGTATTTACTTGGACTTCCTCCTCTTTTCAACAACACTGCAAACTCCTGATGTGTTGATTGTAACACGAAAGACCTAGAGCTATCATTCAACTCCTTCCGTGATTGTTTTGCATAGTAGCAAATATGTCTTCCCCTGGACAACGCAACAATGGGCAGCCCAGGATGCGACCCACGACAGCCGCTGACAAGGTACCTAGTTTTATGACGATGGGCAGAACTCCAATGGAAATACATCACTGACTTTTTTTTCGGGCTATCCTACGTAATGTACACATGTTACTACGTATGATAATTTGTGTACCTGTGTTTATGTGTACTTGTACCTAAATAAACTTACTTCTATCGTAGAGCAAAATAATCACTTAAAACAGCAAATTTCCCCCCAAATAAATGGAATTATTTGTAAAATTACAAGGGGGGTTTTTTCAACTGTAACAGAGTTTTTTTACAGCGGTTATAAAAGAAAGATGTTAACTACATACACAAATAACCCGCCATAAAGACAGAAGCTTACGACGACTTTTGGGCCCACTTGGACCATTGAAAAAGTCACACCCTACACACATAAAAAAGGCCCCCAAGGGAAAAAGACTTGTTAATTATACTTTTAACAATGTACGTAATGTACTTTTCTGTGTCTTACTCTGTGCTCTTTAAAGGCGTGTTAACAAAGTTTTTGCAATACCGAGGGGCTAAAAAAAAATCCTTAGCACATTCTGTAATAAAATCCCAAGAAAGTATGAATGTGTTTCACTGGAAAGGAAACTGCTAACAGGGGGAGGGAGTGTTGGGACTAGCTAGGGTGTTTTGGGACTAGCGCAGGGGGGTGTTGGTATACGCAGGGGGTGTTGGTACTACGCAGGGGGGGGTTGGTACTAACCCCGGGGGTGTTGGTCTACGCAGGAGTGTTCGACTGCCGGGAGAGGTGTTTGGACAACCCCGGGATGTTGATACTAGCACAGGGGTGTTTGTACTGCGCAGGGGAGTGTTGGTACTACACAGGGGGTGTTGGGACTACACAGGGATGTTGGGACTAGACAGGGGGGTTGGTACAGGCAGGGGAGTGTTGGGACTAGCACAGGGGGTGTTTGGGATACACAGGGAGTTTTTGGTATAGCAAGGGAGTGTTGGTACTAGCACAGGGAGTGTTGATACTAGCACAGGGGGGTTTTGGGACTAGGAGGGGATTGGGACAGCACGGGGGGTTGGTACAGCACAGGGAGTTTGGTACTAGACAGGGGGATGTTGGGGAAAACGCAGGGGTTTGGTACAGCACAGGGGGGTGTTTTGGGACGCGCAGGGGGTGTTGGGGGCAGCACAGGGGAGTGTGTTGGACTAACCCCGGGAGTGTTGGTACAGCGCAGGGGGTTTTGGTACTAGCACAGGGAGGTGTTTGGGACTAGCGCAGGGAGGTGTTGGTACTAGCGCAGGGAGTGTTGACACTAGCACGGAGTGTGGTAGGTACTAACCCAGGGGGATGTTGGTACTAGCGCAGGGGGGTGTTGGTATACACAGGGAGAGTGTGTTTTATAACCCAGGGGTGTTGGGACTAGCGCAGGGGATGTTGGGACAGCACAGGGAGTGTTGGAAATAACCCCCGGGGAGTGTTGGGACTAGCGAGGGGGTGTTGGGACTGCACAGGGGGAGTGTGTTGGGACAACCCAGGGATGTTGGTACACGCAGGGGGTGTTTTGATAGCACAGGGAGAGTGTGTTGGTACTAACCCAGGAGTGTTGGTACTAGCGCAGGGGATGTTGGTACAGCACAGGGAGTGTTGGTACTAAAACCCCGGGGGATGTTGGTACTAGCCAGGAGAGAGTGTTGGTACTAGCACGGGAAGTGTTGGGAATGGCAGGGAGATGTTTGGGACTACGCAGGAGTGTTTGGGACTAGCGCAGGGAAGGGGTGTTGGTACTACGCAGGGAGTGTTGGTACTAGCACAGGGGGAGGTTTGGGAAACACGGGGGGGTTGTACTAGCGCAGGAGAGTGTTGGTCTGACGGGGGAGTGTTGGTACTAGCCCGGGAGAGTGTTGGTACTACGCAGGGGGGGGAAATGTTGGGACTAGGGCAGGGAGAGTGTTGGTAATGGCGCAGGGAGAGAGTGTTGGTACTAGCGCAGGGAGTGTTGGTACTAGCGCAGGGAGAGAGTGTTGGTACTAGCGCAGGGAGTGTTGGTACTAGCACAGGGAGAGTGTTGGTACTAGCACAGGGAGTGTTGGTACTAGCGCAGGGAGAGTGTTGGTACTAGGACAGGGAGAGTGTTGGTACTAGCACAGGGAGAGTGTTGGTACTAGCGCAGGGAGAGTGTTGGTACTAGGACAGGGAGAGTGTTGGTAATGGCGCAGGGAGAGAGTGTTGGTACTAGCGCAGGGAGTGTTGGTACTAGCGCAGGGAGAGAGTGTTGGTACTAGCGCAGGGAGAGAGTGTTGGTACTAGCACAGGGAGTGTTGGTACTAGCACAGGGAGAGTGTTGGTACTAGCGCAGGGAGAGTGTTGATACTAGGACAGGGAGACAGTTGGTACTAGGACAGGGAGAGTGTTGGTACTAGCACAGGGAGAGTGTTGGTACTAGCGCAGGGAGTGTTGGTACTAGCACAGGGAGAGTGTTGGTACTAGCACAGGGAGAGTGTTGGTACTAGCGCAGGGAGAGTGTTGGTACTAGCGCAGGGAGAGTGTTGGTACTAGCACAGGGAGAGTGTTGGTACTAGGACAGGGAGAGGTGTATGCTTATGATCTCAAGAGTTACCTGTGTGGAGCGGCCCGTGTTGTTCTGTGGACACGTGGTACAACCCGTATTGTTCTGCAGTCTCTTGTGTGTTGCGGCCCGTATGTTCTGAAGACACCTACGTGTCGCTGACCCTAGTGCCAAGGAGGGAGTGTCAAGGAGATAGTGACACTGATGAAGTAGTACCTCGATCCACTAGGTGCCTCTAATTTGAAACGCCCGCTGCTGGGGTGCCTGCCACACTGATGGAGTCAGGGAGCAGACGGGGTGACACCAACCTTACCTCCCTCCCAGTATAAGTCTCTCCTTCACCTCCCTCCCTCCCTTCCAACACCGCAAGCCTCTCTGCCATACTATCAGCTGACTCTCTCTCTCCCTCCCTCCCCTTCCAAGACGTTAGCTACAGCAGTTGCCTAACTGCCTGTTTATCCTCCTGAAATCTAATCGAACTGACTGCAACTTTCCCCGAGTCCTCCAGATACTATTGCACAGTCAAGCTCAGTAGTTATATGTATTGAGTTACATTCCTTCTGTTCTTGCTAGACTCAGGAGCAACGATAATAACACACTGGAAACTTAAGTCAGCGTCGTGGTGATCGCGCGAGGCTGCTGCTCCAGCATCCATTTTTTTTCTAGTGTTTTCAAATAATGTAAATCTTATTTACGTTGGAGTAAGTAGTAGTAGTAGTAGTAGTTACTAGTTGTCAAAGGCACTTGTCGATAGACACTTGGCAAGTACATAAGTAAGTTTATTTAGGCACAGATACACGTAAGTACAGTTATCGTACATAGTAGTGTGTATTAACTAGGATAACTCCAGAAAAAAAAAATCAAGTACGTAATATACAAAAAAAAAAAAAAAAAATTCTTTACAATGTTCTCGAGGGCATACACATGCTATGACCAAAAATAAATACGTTATAAGTATTTAGCGATTATTATTATAATCAAAAAGAAGCGCTAAGCCACAAGGGCTATACAGTAAGTATTTAGCAAAACGAAGATAATGACTTATTACCATTGGAGGTTCCTGTCAATATTTACAGTTCAAAGTTCATATTTATTCCTTGGCATTAATTTGAAAACATATATATCGTTTACATTTCAGGGATACATATTTTTTTTCCTTACGACGAGTGAGTAGAAATTTGGGAAAATAACCACACCTCCGTGACCAGGTATCCGTGTGACCACGGATCTACCTGTGATGACATGTACCAAGACCTGTGATCTACCTGTGATCCACATGTACCAACACCTGTGATCTACATGTGGCAATATGTACCAACACCTGTGATCTACATGTGGCCACATGTACTAACACCTGTGAGCTACCTGTGACCACATGCACTAACACCTGTGATCTACCTGTGACCACATGTACTAGCACCTGTGACCACATGTACTAACACCTGTGACATGTACTAACACCTGTGATCTATGACCACATGTACTAGCACCTGTGACCACATGTACCAGCACCTGTGACCACATGTACTAACACAACCTACTTCCACATTGAACAAATGTAACACTACCTATGACTGCTACACCTCTCCTGCCATACGGTTTATAAGCTGCTTCTCCGCTCATATGCCGTATTCTACTCAAGATTGATGGACTGAACACATCGACTCAAGGTTGAGGGACTGATTACCTCATTCTCCTCCTGTTCTTCTAGTTTCTCCTATGTATGGACTGATGAAGCCACTGTGTGGCGAAACGTTTCCTCAATAAAGATACCCAAGAGTTGCACATGTGTCTAATTTATCAACATGTCGGTTCTCTGAACCATTCATCTACAATCCTGTGATCTACCTGCTCTCTTTCACAAGAATCACCAGACCAGCAGTAACAACCTGGTTGATCAGGCCCTGATCCACCATCACGATACCTGGATATGGACCGGGCCGAAGGGACGTTGACCCCCTGAATACCCTCCAGGTAAACTACAGGTAAGAATTAAAAAAAATATACATTATTTATCTTAATAAATTTGATAATCACAATGTTTTTCTGATATTTATAATAGAAGGTTGTCTTAGAAGCTAAAACGTTGTGTAGCTTTAAAAATAGGTTACATAAATTCATGAGTGGGTGTGAGTTGGACCTGACTAGCTTGTGCTACTGGGTCTGATGCCGTGCTCCTTCCTTAAGTGGATGTGACCTACCGTGACTAGGCTTGGGCCGGTGGGTGACTTGGACCTGCCTCGCATGGGCCAGTAGGCCCGCTGCAGTGTTCCTTCTTTCTTATGTTCTTAAGGTGTACACCTTCTGTCAGTATTAGTAAGTGACTTGAACCTGCCTAGCATGGGCCAGTAGGCCTGCTGTAGTGTTCCTTCTTTCTTATGTTCTTAAGGTGTACACCTTCTGTCAGTATTAGTAAATGACTTGAACCTACCTAGCATGGGCCAGTAGGCCTGGTGCAGTGTTCCTTCTTTCTTATGTTCTTAAGGTGTACACCTTCTGTCAGTATTAGTAAATGACTTGAACCTACCTAGCATGGGCCAGTAGGCCTGCTGCAGTGCTCCTTTTTATGTTATTTTACAAGATATTAGCGATGAGAGTGAAATACAACGAACAACACAGCATTCGCAGGTCTCAGGTTGAGGAACCAAGAAAAGCCTAATGATTTAATTTAGTAACAGAGATAACGACGGTTGAGAGGCCTCACCACACCTCACAGCCTTAGGCCTACTTAACATTGTTAAACAGAAAATCTTATAAGCTATATACCATATTTCTGAATCGGAAAATAATTTCGCTTGTAGCATGTCTTTCGGACGAGTTCAGTCGGGCCAGCTTCCAGAGACAGGGATGAGTAGCGATGGATTAGACATGTGCAACACCTGTGTAGACATACGTAACACCTGTGTAGACATATGTAACACCTGTGTGTAGACATGTGTAACACCTGTGCAGACACATGTAACACATGTGTAGACATGTAACACGTGTCGACACATGTAACACATGTGTAGACATATGTAACACCTCTGTAGACATATATATAACACCTGTGTAGAGAGGCCTGTGTAGATGAGGTCTGGTCTCAGACCGGGCCGCGGGGGCGTTGACCCCCAAAACTCTCTCCAGGTAAACAAATGCAACACGATCACAGATCTACCAGGCTTCGTGTTGGGTTGTTTAGAGATACCTTCATGAGACGCTAGTTTCCCCCCTACGTCTCTGCTGCTTCTATAATTAGGCTGGACTAAGTTCGTCACTGAAAGCTGACTCAAGTCATGCAAATATTGTTAATACTACCATTGGCTATTTTTTTTTCAGAGTCAAAAGTTTCAGGAATGAAATTTCCGAGTTTCAGAATCTCATTTGTTTTTTTGCAATTTTCTGCTCTGATCCGCTCACTAACCTATCTCTAAGTTCACCTCTTAAGTTAACAATTTCTTATGTAGTACATGAATGGTATACAATACCGACAAGATGAAAAATTAGACACATGTGCAACATCTGGGTGTCTTTATTGTAGACGTTTCTCCATCCAGTGGCTTTATCAATATAAATTCTAGGACATAATTGGAAGACAGAAGAACTACATACCAAAAATGAGGTAATCAGTTCCTCGGCCTTGGAGTTGGTGTGATTCTGGAGAACAGGTAATTCTTCTTTGTAGATTCGCCGGTACAATCGCCCGGCCTGGGCCTTTTCCAAGAGTTGGCCCGGCATTGGCTCCCTGTGGTGGGAGTGTCTCAGACCAATGTCTGCCATGGGAGGCAGTACATGTACCTCGTCGTCTTCTGGGACCACCTGTCCCCAAGTCTAGCCCCATTCCACGCCCCCACGGGGCTCGGAGGAAAAAACTGGGCACCTTGGGCTGCCACAAACCTCGCCCACACTAGGTTCGAAGGGTGTGGCAGGTGCATAGCAGCAGACGATGTCAGGAGGTGCAAAGGCAGCAAGCACTACAGGATCCTCTTGGAGCCACACCCCAGCTTTGGGCATTAAGCCCGAGTGCTGGAAGCTCAAGAATGCCTCTTGCTGTGTGTGTTGCTGCTGCTACTACTACACTTGTCCGTTGCACTCTGAGCACAGGCATGTATGTATAATGTTTGCCAAGACCGGAGTCCTGGCAAACCCGTCTCTGGCTCACGAACGAGAAAGGGTGCTGCAATGTTGCAACGTATGCCGCTGTTCTGGTCAGTTCATCTGGTCTGAGCACAGGCAAGAAGGCTGGCGCTTATATACTGGTGTCAAAGTGGAAAGGGACGGGTTGCAGACGAGGGCATAGTCACTGGTAGGCGGGATTCTTTTGTATACAGTTCTTCTGTCTTCCAATTATGTCCTTGAATTTGTATTGATAAAGCCACTGGATGGCGAAACGTCTACAATAAAGATATCCAGATGTTGCACATGTGTCTAATTTTTCATCATTTTTTACCTTCAAACTGACATATTTTATAAATCAATCAATTACATCTCAAAATTGTCAAAATCAATCCCTCTGCAATATTTCCAAATTAGGTCGGGTCAGATTATTTTTCCCCGCTGATATATCTTTGTGCTTTTATGAAATTTGACCGGAGAAAACTGAAAACAAAATTAGTTTGTGGCGGCAGTGCCTGCCATGTTCCAACTTTGGGGACGGGTGCCATAAGTTCGCCAACCCAGGAACCATCTATTCACTAGAGTTGGTCACCATGGAATCGTGGTACAAGGGATACCATCTTCAACCTGTTCGCTAACCTGTTCCATCAGTCATGCCCAGCTCTTGGGTATAACTGATGGAAGAAAGTCATACAGTAAGGAACGTAGCACTTATAGCATGGGAAATATTCTTACAATGAAGAACATAGCACTTTTATAGGCACCATAAAATAAATTCCACACTGACAGTGGGATAACAGATTATGGGTATTTATCCAACCTGTTTTCTATGTGTATACAATATCAATTGCAAATAAGTTTTTTCTAACAAATTGATTTATTGCTTGCTACGCATTTAATAATAAAAATGATTATGTGTAACATATAACAAAATTTATTTAAATAAATAAAGTACAGGGTATGGAAACACTAGAGGCAAACCTGCGATTTAATATATTATTATTTTAATATAAAGAGCTCAACCAGGTAGTGGGAAGGAGCTATACAATATAAGAACATAAGAAAGGAGCACTGTAGCAGGCCTACTGGTCCATGCGAAGCAGGTCCAACTCAAACCCACTCATGTATTTATCTAACCTATTCTTAACACTACACAAGGTTCTAGCTTCAGTGACGTGTACTCGGGAGTTTGTTCCACTCATCCACAACTCTATTACCAAACCAGTGCTTTCCTATATCTTTTCTGAATCTAAATTTTTCCAACTTCGTTCGGATTTCTAACCCCGGG